GGTGCTATCGTCCTTGTGAATAGAGAATTTTTGCTCCTGGTGTTTCTTTGGTTAACAATTAACAGTTGGTATATTCTCATCTCCTTCAGTAACCATTGCTTCCCTCTTTTTTTCTTTTTCCTGTAAAAGCTGGCTTCTCTCTTTAGTTTGGTGAACGGCGTAATTATTTTCTATTACTGTTACCAACATCAAATTTTTTATTTTTTTTTTTCAACATCGCACGCCAACATACGTACATTATAATTCATATAGTACGCCCTTCATCTCACTTTAGTTAACATAATTCTAAGTAGTGTTATTTTAGACTTCAGAGTTTTCAATTTTGCACCTAAATTGTCCAATTAATGACAGTTGTTTAAATTAAGATGTCTAAAGTAATTGAAGGACAAAAGTGACATTTTTTGGACACTTTAAGGACTTAAAATATATATTGAATTAAATGCCACGTGGCATTTCTCTTATCAATTTTACTGTGCCATGGAAAGTAGGAAGGAAGAAAGAAAAAGTGGAAGGGATAAACTTTTCATTCTTCAAGGAAAAAAAATTATTTTTTCTCTTTTTTGTTTTATAGTTGAGATGAAAAGTAAAAATGATATATTTTTCATCATTTGGTATTAGATGAAAAATAAAATTAAAGAAAAAATATGCATGCTCAATTTACAATTCTACTCTTACATTAATTTCCAAGTAATTAATTGCAAAGAGTAAAAAAGTCAAATAATCCTTAAAAAAGTCAAATTGTCCTACTTTCCTCTCATTTTCCTCCTATTTTTGAGGGGAAAGCAAATTGTGGGCAGAAGAGAAAAGTTATCTCTCCAATTTTCCTTTCCATCATTCTTTTCTTAGATACCAAACGGTGAAAAGCCTTTTCATCCACCCTATTTTCCACCCACTATTTTTCATCCATCCTACTTTTCTTCCAACCAAACACAGGGTAAGAATTAAAGTGATACAATAGGAAGAAGATGACCGAATACAGAATGCAAAAATGTATTTTGCATTTGGACATATATACCTATATACATATAGATAGCCTTGCCCTACCAGGACAGCAGTTCATCAAATCTCAGAATTCTAAGGTGAAAGGTTGAATGATATGTTATATATCCAGTAATAACAACCTTTGAACTAAATACTAAATTAAAAAAAACTAAATACGATCCTTGATCCAGAAAAATAAATAAATAAATACAATCTCATTCCCCTATATCCTGAAAGATGTAATTCACTACGTCCATGTGGCAAATGCATTACTATTTGCCTACCACTGATGTAATACTGATTGAAGTTTCATCTAAACGAGGCAAGATAGAATGGTGAATTCAAAGGTCGTACTTATGCCCAAGGCTCCCACCTGTAACGGAATGATTCCTAGATCCAAACCCGCTACCTACCAGCACTTGATATCGCTTCAGGTCTAACCACTGGTTCCATGCAAAGGTTAGAACCCAAAATGTATCCTTGCCATCAGTGGTGAGAAACCACTTGCTAACATTTTTCTGGGTCAAAATCAAGTTCAGGATGTTGATGTATATTAAAAAGCCCAATTACCTTCACTGAATATAGCATATCAAACAAACAAAAAGGGCAAGTGCAGAAGACTTCCGCCATTTAGAAAGATCATATGTACATAGTCTTAGCACGAAAAACTCTCAATCATACTCGATTTAAGAATCCCCCGACACCAAACAAATGCAACGTGAACTTGAATCATAAGCCACCTTATATAAGGTTGCTTTAATTAAAGTTAACAACTAGACCTAGAATTTATATAAAACAAAAATGATTGAATATGAATTGCAGACCCAAAAAAAAAATTTGGATCGGTTTGTTATATATTAAGAATGATACAAATTGAAATCTTGCATGTACAGATTTTATGAAACAGAAAACTCTAGAATTAATTCCTACCACATTCCAAAGTTTCTAGCTCTGCAGTTGCATTTTGTGAACTAGATTTTGTGACCGTAGATGTTTCCATCGCTATTGAGAGGTGAACATCGTTTTCTTCCAGCATTCTGAAAAATGCATGAGGTGCCCAACCTGCATGTTCCAAAAGATAAGAGAGAATTTTAAAGATAAATTAACATTAGATGCATCAAAACAAACCCCAACTCGAAAATCGGGGATATCAAACATAAATTAAGGAAGCATGGCTCACTATCAACAATTCAATATCGGAAATACAATATTTTGATGTGTTTCAATATGTTTTCAATCAATATTTCAAAAATATATTTCTTATTTTTTTCTTTGTTTTCATTTTATTTCCAAAATATAATTGAAACGTTTTCGAAATAACCTACACTACGAAATTATAAACCGAAATAAAAATTTGGTCCTTTGACTACAAGCAGCCTAGTTTCTGCACTCAAAATTTCGAAATAAATTGCTTGAAAAAATAGTCACGGAGTAAAACCAAGTGTTACTAGGCAACATGTATTGCGTCAAAAAAAGGAGAAACAGAAAAAATTCCTTGCCTGTCATTTCAGCCACTATATGCATTCATAATACAGAAAGAATTTGAACTTGACACTTAAAAAGAGTAAAAAATGTTTTCAATCAGGCCGTGCTTTAAAGTGGTTAGATTAGTAGATTTAGCTTAATAAGGTACCCTTTTTTTTTTTTGGTCAAACATATAAAAATAAGATACCATTTGGTAACAGTTTTTTTTATAGTACTTTCAATACTTTTTTGGCTTTTTTAAAGGCTTTTTACAGGTAGTGTTTGTTTTTGCATTTTTGTTTGTTGGGTTTTCCTTGTCGAGGCTTAGTTCTTCTAACCATAATCACATTTATAATAATTACTATTTATAATAATATACTATACATGTATATTAAGATTACAATTCATGTATTAAAATGTATCTAAATCACTTTTACAAAATAGTAATTAAATATGATCTTATTTTTAGACAAAATCATTTTTCATTTTAAAAAGTCGATTTAGAAAAGTATTATGAAATAGTACCTAAAATTTTGAAAAAGAGATTATCAATATCTTCATACTGCTTCAAACGGGTTACACAGAAAAAAAAAAAAAAAACAGAAGAAAACATAAACGACTTGGTTGCCTGCTCTGGCTACCTTTGTTCTTTGCCAACAAATTACAACATGCAGTTTATGAAACAGGAGTGCTTCAGATTTCTGTATGGTCTTTTTAGATACAGAGAAATGTGTGTCATAATCAAACAATGATAATTACCCTACTAAAACTTTTCGTATCCATATGATGAACCATAATAGGACATCACATTGCGTAGCCTTGTATCAGTTTAAGAAACATGAATCGTGCAAACATATTGTCACATTCAATTTTCTCTCTACCCTCCCTCTCGCCCTCTCTCCATCTCTCAGTCGCACTCTCCTGGGAGAGAAGATCCCTCTCCGTCATTTGATCCATTTTTAACCGATCATTAAAGAAAAATGGAAACAAACATAGTTATGAACCATAAATAACAGAAAAAAAAAAAAAACACAACAAAGACAATTAAAATAACCAAGCCACCTCAATTTCTTTGTGTATCCCCTATGTAAGCAAATAATTTCTTGAAGCAAAAACCTGAATAAGAAATTCACTACCACCCAAAATTTTTGTAAGCTTATACCCACATTTGGATCAGGTGTATACTCTTTCATACCAATTTAGAAGAGGTTGTATATAACTCATGAACTGTTTGTATATAACTCATGAACTGTTAACTAGAGTTCAAGAAGTTAGTAACAATTTCATGGAGCAGGAATTATACTGCTGTTCATAGTAAGCATGAACAGGTGAAACTATGTAACTAACCATTTTCGTGATGTGGTAATGGAAAGAACTGCAAGTAGCATAATGTAGAAACAGCCGATCCTGCATTGAAATGGCACCTGATCAGACAGATATATTACATAATACAAATTCCAACAAAATAAATAAATAATCCATCAAAAATTCATTTTGACAGAACGGACCTATGAGGGCTCCAGCGAATACATCTGTCCAATGATGCCAATAGTCATCCACACGAGAAATTCCAATGAGTGCAGCAAAAAGATATGGGAGGATAACAATACAGATTTTTGCAGCATGGCCCCTACGATCAAACACTTGAATTTTCCCTAATAAATACCACCCAAGGAATCCAAGACCAGCAAAGGACCCTGCTCATTGACAATGTAAAACCCCAGTAAGCCCATAGTTCGATTGTTAAGAACCCAAGTAAACAATAGAACCATGAACATGTTTGAAAATTTAATCAAATGTAACCATAAACTCTAATACCCTCAATATAAAAGTAAAAAGGAAATTGAAAAATGTAAAAGCACAGTTAAGACCTATATTAACCACTCCATGGGAATACCAACATGCTCAATCAACATTATAAAGGTGGTACTTACAACCTGCATGATCATCTGGCTCTAATAACTATCAATACTTACATGAAGTGTGCCCACTTGGGAAGCTTTTGTATCCTTCCTTTATGATTCTCTTCTCCCCAGTGCACAGAACATTGCCATCAAGGGGATTGAATGCCTGGACATGCACAGGACAACCTCGTTAGGCCAGTATAACACATCTCTTTAAGCAAAGTTAGTTCCTAAAATACTGTTGAGAAATGGAGAATAGATGAAGAGATAACTATAAAATCTTAAAGATGTACAAACCGGTATTCCATTGGGAAAACATCTCCAAAAGAAGTTTGGTCGTGGCCGACCGACTGCATCTTTAATTGAATCCGTGATAACTGCAGTTACCAGGACAGAGTATAGAATACCTGCAAATTTGCACAAGTAATCATTTCAGTAGATATCACAATGTACAAACAAATGGCAGACAAGTATTACTCTTCAGTAGCTCAAAAAGAGCCTTACCCAATACAGCATGGTGCAAATCATAGACATCCCTTCTGTAATTATAATAAATCAGAAATATGGTGCAGGGCAAAAGAATTGCAAAGATCTGTCAAAGCAAAAACGAACTTTAAAACTCAGAATAAGAATGAGCTTCGACTGAGTGAATCAATTTTGATGTGAAAGTATCGATCAGAGTATTAGCTATCATTAATAAAATCACAATCATTGAAATCAGATGCATACTGGAACAGCCCACATAGGCACAGTATCTGTCTTGAAAGGGTATTTCAGATCTGTCATCATCCCTTCCCCGACATATCGATGAAAAGGTTCTACTGCATTCAAACAACCATCGATGGCAACAAGGAGCAGGAGAATTAGCCAGTCATGCATATGCTCTCTTGCCAACTTGGCTCCATGGGATTTAATAGTGTGCCCTCCCAACTGAATCTCTGGCATTTTGATATATTATTCTACAAAAAAAGGGTAATTGGAATAATACCACCAACCGAAAAGACTATAAAGAATAATTTAAATTTAAATATACAATGTGACTGCCTTGTTCCCCATGTTATAAGCATGATACCAAATAAAGATTGTTCTGCCATAGATAATGAACATCACCTTCATCCAACCACACACTTAAACCTGTTACCATGTAGTCAGACACATTTCTTTCATTGTATCTGTTGCATGGTACAAACTGACTACTTACACCAAACCATGGTCGAATAATAAAGATAAAGTATCTGCTCTAGGAATAGGACTAACAATCATTTATTTCGAAATACTGCATAACAGTTGGTCACTCATAGGACAACTTCTAAAGCTTTGAAGCCATACAACCCCAATCCTCCAGCCAACACCACTACTTACCATACACGCAAAGTTCAAAATAGAAGGTTTTGTAAACTAAAAATTGAGGATATTCTGTGAATTCTCAGCAATTCCTACAGGTAAAATCAATTCATACTCAAAACAAACATATACACTAAAACTAAACTAAAAATGAATTCATAGTCGCTTCCTTCTTCCCCGTGTAATAAACATAAACATGATACCAACTAAATACAACCCCCAACCTCCAGCCAACACCCCAGCTCACCATACACACACAAACCGAAAATTCAAAATAGGAAGTGTTGTAAACTGAAATTTTGGGATTATTTTCTGTGAATTTTTAACAAATCTTACATGTAATGTTATCGTCTATTCAAAAAGATACATGTATACTAAAACCAAATGCATGCTAAAACAATAAGAATGCCGAATCTATAAAATATGGCATACTTCGTAAACAAGAACTCATCTAAATTCTATGATTTTGACAAAAATTGCTCCGCAATTTGTTTAAAATCTCAAAAAAGAAGAACAATCCCCAATCAATTCAAATCAGATATTGCAGAACATTTCTGACCAGAACTCCTAATCCGAAAACCCAATTTTCCGTAGCTGATAGACCATTAATATAGCAACCTAGTCTTAAAACTGTTGGAACTAGTGGATGGCTCATTTCCATTGTAAATTTGGTAGAGGAGATTTATTAGGACCGAGTGTCAAACTTGGTTTACTAGTTGGACTAGAATTATACTTATTAAGTAGTGCCTGTAAATCTTGTGAAAAGCAGTCGATCCAATGAACATAGGTAGAATTTTTATCGAACCACATAAATCTTGTATTCTTGTTTGTGATTATTTTCGTTCTTCATTATTCATTGCATTGTACGTCCACAAGAGAAACTATAAAAGAAACCCCAGATAATTTTATTAACTCATCTAACTGCCATAAGAATCAACAACCTAATGTGGTTTGTTAAGATATCAGGGTACAATCTCTCGGGACAAGAGATGAATGGAGTCAACTCCAGATGTGATCAGTAAGTGCATTTCGAAATACCTAATTTGAATTAAAAAGCTATCAATAGAATCAAAATATAAATGGATGTGTTGCTCCATCAAGGGCCTGGAATATAAGAGATTAACTTGCTTGAAAAACTGGAAAAGCAGATAATAATCAATGCAATGAAATTTCAATATCATTAACCTCAACAAAGTGTATTCTAAACCAAAAAAGAAGACAATTGGCACGAAGAAAATATGAGAGACCAAACTTATACTGCATGAAATGTGTAGTAAATTGAATGAAACACTTATGTACCTGTGTAATAAATTGAATGAAAAACATACAGAATTACAGATGATGCATACAAGACGTGCATGCAGACACAGAGAGAGAGAGGGGCAAACGTACTGTTGGATGTACAAAATGACCAGAAGAATCCAGGGGAATGAGAGAGTTGGAGGAGACAACGAACCCAGACCATGTTAAGGGGGCGGGGGACGGACAGAGAGAGGGAGAGGGAGAGGAGAGAGAGAATTTGCGCGGGGTTAGGAAGGCCCAGAATAGAATATCCAATAAACATTAGTGGTCGTGTGGACATTAGAAGCGATGCCTATGGCATCTAAACTCTTTCATGCGCCTAAGATAGTCACTCCCAACGAGAGAGAGAGAGAGAGAGAGAGAGAGAGAGAGAGAGTGCACAACAAACTAATGGCTTTAGTTTGTGTCCACGCACCATTACTGAATTCATTGTAATAGTTGAATTAAAGTAAGGTTTAATGCTAAATGGGATTTATTGTAAGTCCAATAATAATAGGAATGGTTTGGAGGTGATGTTATTCAAGAATCCATGATAATGCTGAATAGAGAGATAAAATTTAAGATTAAAGATGCGTTCCGTAACGTTTTCGTTATTATGTCTTTTTTATTAAAAAAAAATTTTGTTTTATTTTTGATAAAAATTAAAAATATAAAATATATTTGACAATTATTTAAAATAAAAATAAAAAATATATTTAGTATTATATCCAAAATTCATCACCCAGCACCACCAACCACCTACCAGCACCAAACTCCTATCATCACCACTGAAATCCATTCCCACGACCCTTGCCCTGAAATTCACCACCATCCCTTGAAATTCACCCCCTATAACCCCGAAACCCAGCACTACCACCACCCAACCCCACCACCATCAGCGAAACCCACCCTCATAAACTTCTCTGTGAAACTCATCGCCTACTGCCCAAAATACACCACCACCCAACCCCACCACTACCGAAACTCACTCCCGCAAAGCCACAACCCCGAAACCCACCACCACCACTAAAATCCACCCTCATCCCCGAAACCCAACACCAAAACCAAACAAACCCCAACACCCAGCCATCCAATACCAAACCAAGCAAAATCCACCATCATCAACCATTCAACCACCACCAAAGAAGATGAGTTTTCGCAAAGAAGACGAGAGAGATGGGAGACAGTTCTTCGCAGAGAGAGAGACGAGAGAGAGAAAAAGTTGGGTGAGGAGTAGTAGGTTGAAGAGAGACCCCCTTTTATACTTCTAAACAAAAGCCCTAAATTTTGGTGTTAAAAAGATTCGAAAGTAAGATCTCATTAAGGGATAGGATTAAAGTTACAACTACGCAAAAAAAAAATTTAGGACTAAGCAAAAAAACCCTATGATCAAGAGAGTCTATGGTCGATCATAGACTTTTCTTGAACATTTATAATTTTTTCTTTCAAATGTGTAATTTTACCAAAAACAAATTGTAACCAGCGCTACAATATTGAATTTTTTTTTTGGGTAACATAGAATTTCCTTTCATAAGACTATATCAATAGCACCAAAATTTATGTAAATTTTACTTATTATGAATTTTTTTAAATAATATTATAATTAAACAAACATTCTTTATTTGTGTAAAAGTGTGTTTTAGATATATGTATTTGTTTATTATTAAAATAAATAAGATAGATTGATTGCATGAATTTTTCTTAGATTGAAGGTGAAACTATAAAATAACAATATAATACACCTACGCTGCATTATAATACCATCTCTCTGGATAGTTTTAAAATTAGTTTAATAGTACAGATAGATTGTATTAGAATTATCCGCAAGAGATACTTATCTAACTAATCTCATAAATAATACAAATTGATTTTTTACATTCAATTGTAATATAAACCATATTAAAGTGTTTTCATTTAATATGACTCTTTAATACCCCTTGTAATGCAACAACCAAAAGACCATGTAATAGATTAGGGGCATGTTTGTTTGAGTATAAAATTTTTGTGGTATAAGGTTTTATATTCATTCCATTATAATCCAATAGTATATTATATACGGTGTTAAACTATAATCTCATTATTCTCCTTGTTTGTTTATCACAAATATTATCTGTGTAATACCTATTTAAAAAAATTAACAATTGCGGCTAACCAATGTAAAAGATAATTTTAACCTTTAAAAAGTCAAAAATTGCGGTTAGGCTTTTATATGAGAATTGTACCGGAGGGCATTTCGGTCTTTTTAGTTTATAATACATATACCAAGAATATAATACCACCCCCTAGGTAGTATTCATTAAGACCTTCTACAAGATATTATGGTTATTGTTCATAGCGGGTCGGTATTACGACCCGAAAAATAGTACTGACTATAAATGTCAAACAAACAACGTATAAGATGGGTCTCACGTATTATTTTCCTAATACCACCTCCTTATACCACTTTAATACTCAAAACAAACGGCCCCTAGGTATACAAATTATATCAATAAATTAAATTTAAATTGCATTATTACAATATCTAACTCAACATGACACATGACACTCTTTCTATTGTGAAATGTTGGAAATTATTTTTAAAAGAATGTTACTTTGGTCTAATTTCTTGACCTAATCACTTATTATTATTTGATGAATAATGAATCTCAGTATCCTTTAAGACCCAATACTAATTTTATTATTATGATAGATTAGACCAATAAATAATGTCAATAAATTTGATTCAAAATAATATTATTGGTGCTTCAAGCAAATGGGCCTTTTTTTTCTGTATTTTCTGTTGTCCGCTTCCTTAGTTTTATGCTTCGTATTCTGACAATTTTTTTATGTACACAGCAAATGTAGTTCTTGAGGACCCATGTTGCATATTCTTCAGACTGAAGTTTGGAGGATCATTGCCTTCTATTTGGAGAATGTGTGCAAAACTTAAAGCATCAAGCATGGACTGTGGAAAGCTGACAGGAAGCTGCTTTTCTTGTGAAAACTAATGAAATGCAATTTGAAGATAAAAGGCGGATATTTGTAAATGACATTCCTATATTTTACTATATTTGAGCGAATTTACACCGAGGGTTGCCGTATTAGAAATGGATATTGTTTTTGTTTAATACGATACAAGAAATGAGGCTTCATCTGTCGTGATTATTTTTTCTAAAAATTTAACTAAGAGTGACAGAGCACAGTATGAAGGAGCATTGCAAAGCTAAATCAAGAAGCCACAGCAGTAGGTCACCATTGCCAGTGATAAGATGACTGATGACTTTCTATATATAATCACCTTATCTTTGCTTTCAAAACACAAGAGAAAAAATGTTTATCCATGATATCTATAATCGTTGGGGTTGAAATCTTGTGAGATTTCAAATCAGTCCCTAAACTGTCACAAAAAGGTCTACCTGACGCAGACTGAGATTGAAAAATTCTAGATTCATCTTCATTTAAATATTTTCTGAATAGGATAATTGACTTGTGCAGGGACTACATGTGGGCAAAGGTGTGCTCTAGGATTCCCACACTGAAGACTAGGAAGAGATAAATTATCCTTTAAGTCATCAAATGAAAAGAACAATCACCAAGTATCATCTGAATATATACCACCATCTCCAAGACACCATCAATTTATCAACCCTGTTTGTGTTGCATCTTGCGAGTTGTGATATTTGAATCTCCATTTTCATCACAATAAGAGAAAAGTGTCCTTGTTCTATCAAAGGAAAATAATATCCTAGAAATTAGAGATGTCATACAAGATGACTCTACATTCAGTAAGGTTTTGGTTTACATCCTGCTTTTGTTTACACTTCATGCTCTTTTGTTTATGCTAAAATTCTGTGGATTCTACTTACCAGGGAAAAAAATCGGTTGATTCTAATTTTGAATCATGGAATTGTAAGATTGTTTACTTTAATTTACAATTGTGAAGGTAACTCTTGGATTCACAACAGAACTTACTATTCTAACCTGCTATTTATAGACCAGGGTTGCCTGCGTCTTATTCCAGGCCTTCTTGATGGGAAAACCTCCTGGTGACAATTGAGAATCTTTTGGACCTGAATACTTTATGCAGATTATATTTTTAGCAGAAAAATTAAGGCTGTGTGATTCAAATTCTTGTAAAACATGATAGAGTATTTATTAGAGTTTAGAACTCTAATAAATAGACTTAAACACTTATGCAGAAGACAGTGACAAGTTTCTTCTAATATATCAATCAGAGTTTAAGACCTGCTAACTATCACTGCATGAGAACGATTATCCCCAACTTATAATTGGTGTGAGCTTCTGATCTGATGTTCAGTGTTATCTGCAGCTACTTGTGCTGAAGCCTGGGATAGCAACATTGCTGATGCTGGGGTCATGGTTTGGTACTGAGGCGGCAATGGAGCAGCGGCATGCTGAGCATAATACATTTGATCATGTGAAGGATGAGCATATTCAGAACCATAATCAGAAGTGGTAGCAGAAGCAACAGCAATGGACTGTGATGGATGAGGCATTTGAGAAAGACCAACATATTGTTTCTGATATTGCTGAGACGAAACTTGAACCATTGTTGGAGTTGCAGTACCAGCTGTTCTGTATAAATTTGCATCCATTTCAAGCATTGTTGGCGTAGTTGTCTTTGGAGGGTAAATGGGTGGATTGGTTTCATTGTAAGCTGCAAAAGAAGCCAGATTTGGTGGGTTTAATGGCCGAGTTGAAGCCACTGCAGTAGCATCTGATATATTGGATTGCACAGTCATGTTGTAAGGTTGAGTCTGGGAGACAGGAAATAAGTACACTGGATATTGTTGACTCATCGGTTGATAAAGAGGCTGCTGTGAAGGGGGAGCATACACTTGGTAGTAAGACGACATTGGCACGGGACCTGTGGCAGGGTGATGAACATAATGTGCGCTCGAGTGAACAAATTGTTGTTGTTTTTGTTGCTGATTGTGCTGTGGAGGTAGGAAGTACACAGGATCCTGAACTTGCTGAATCTGGATTTGAGAGTTCAGATCTGAAATATTCTCACTGGAAGTAATTAGGCCAGCAGGAGCATTGTTTTCCCAGGTTGCAATAAGAGTTGGGTCTTGATAAATTGTGTGTTTTGAGAGAGTTGTTGTTGCTGATGCAATACTGCTATCACTGCAAA